GGGCCAACACTTCGGCACACTCCAGAGAACATCGATCGACACTCTCACAGCTGGCGGGGCGCGAAGCAGTATGCTAGGGAGCATGCGCAATCTGGCAACCGACAAAACTTGGTCGATGGCCAATCGTTGGGTTCTGAGGTAGACCAAAACATTGGAGTCCTGGTCCCTGGAGTGATTTCGGAGGCCCTTGTTAGCAGCCGTACGTTACACCTGGGAATGGTAGGCACGGAGCTTCCTAGCAAGGAAATCAGGGATGTCATCCCAAACTCCAGCCGCATAAAGGAAACGAGTAGCCCCTAACGTTTCAGCGTACCGAACCTTAGTTTGAATCGAGAGGAGCGGGGAGGGGGACACAACCTTCTTGATGGGTCGGAGAGCACCAACCATGGAGGCGTTCCTGGCACAGATTTCCCTGCCGATCCCCCCATTGGCAGACACAAGCACACCCAAAATCTTATGAACTTGAACGACGTCGATGTGTACGTCAAGAGCAGGAAGATGAATCCTGGGCGGGAGGGTATCAAACAAATTGCGAGAAGCCGCCTTCGCCCCAAGTCCTCTAAAACAGATCAGGGTTTTGGTTTTAGCACTGTTAACGAGAAGCCCACGCTTGCCTACAGAGTCGTGGATAATTCTGAAGACCTTCGAAAGTTGATGAACGATCGTGTTGGCTGGTCCGCCCACAAGGACCGTCAGATCATCAACAAAAGAGAAATCCGCCACTGGATCCTGCCAGTCTTGGGGCCTGGAAGCATGATGGGGAGCAGGCGGGGCCTGCCAGAAGAGATCTTCCGCTTTCATGCGTTCTTGTATTTCGCGAAGGGCACTGGAAAACACCAAGTTAAAAACATCCCCCGCCAAAATGGAGCCAGGGCGCGACCCCGCAGACGGAGCAACCCACAAGGCCGAACGGCCAAGCTTCCACATGGAACCTGATTGCGATTCCTGCAGTAAGAACAAGATGTGCTCCGTGTCAACATGGGCCTCGAGAAGGGGGTGGGGCACCAAGTTGAGCCCTGACTCCTTCCTGCAGGAATGGGGTGAGCCCCATAGTTTCCATGGCGTGGGCAAGGGAAGTCTCTTCTCGTGGGAGCGCCAAGGCCACCTGCTTCACGAGATCAATGCACAAGGCACCCGCACTTTGTTTAGCCTGCTTCGTAGCATGCCAATGCAGCCGAATCCCCAGCAAGGCGCGTTCGACTCCTTTTCCCTGGATACCACCCACCTGCGTGCACAAAAGAGAAGCATAAATGAAGTCAGTGGCTTTCTGACGTAAGAAACGATGATGCATCTTGGAGATCGCGTTGCATTTATGAATGTTGCGCTGCGCGGCAGCCGTCCAAACATCACCACTGCCTTTGTGAAAAAAAGGCAACCTCCCCGAGCTTAAACCCCAAAGGCTAACGACAATGCGCAGCTGCTTTGACCAGGATGGGAGCGAACACCTCGGACAACCCACAGGGATCAGCTTTAAACAACTCATCTCGAAAGAAATCAGGCCCCGCACTGCGGTGGGCCTGAGCCTTGCTGAACAACAGCTGCAAATCGAAGGGAGAGGGAATCGCCTCAATACTTCGGACGAGGGGGCCCAAGGGATTGATTCTACACTCGTCGTTATACTTACTGATACCTTCACAGTACGAGAGCTCCTTGGCCCGTTCAATCTTCGCAAAATGAGCTTGCACAATTTCATGGACCTGTTCAGGGGTGCGGGCGGGTTTTCCTTGACAATCCAACATAAACGGGAAACTCGGGGCCTGCTTCGGCGCTCGACCAGCGAAACGCAGAACACGGGAGAGATGGTTCCACTCACGTTGAGGGGCCCGTCCGTCGATGCTGGCCCTGACACTTGCCAGTTCCTTCTGCAGGAAGGCGTCTTTATCCAACTGAAAAGAACGAGCCACAAAAACGGACTTGCCTAGAAACATGCTCTGAAGGCGAAGCATGAAGATATCAGCTCTTATGTCCTTGGGATCAGCACGGCGCGCAGAGATAACAAATTCTTTGGCGCATCCGCCGAGGTCTTCGAATATTCGCTTCCATTCCTGCATGATCGTCTGGTACGTCCTAGGC